TTTCTCCTCCTATTCTGTTGCCCTTCACTGTCTCCTTTCTTTTTTCCTCCTTTTTTTTTTTTTTTTTTTTACTTTCTCCGTCTGGCGCAAGAAAACCAGGGGCTGCAGTTTGCTTAGCTGAGTCCATAAAGAGGCGTTTTAAAAAGCTGTGTTAACAGACCAACAAAGCTTTAAATGTGCCCCCCTCTGTGAGGGGGTGGTTCCCATAGGGATGTAGCGTGGCGCTCCATTGGTAGGCCTCTATCCGTCCTCTCATTCAGCCCAACGCTCAGTCACGGCCACTTATGGTAGGAGGGAAAATCACACAATTCAGCCAAGGCCTGATCCAATGACATGTTTTTTTAATGAGGTGGCTCTATGTCTTTGTTTGGGCACCAAATTCAAGTCCAGACCTGAGCAAGTCCCGCTGAATAAGATGCAAGGCCATGGTCGTGCACGACTTACAAAAAAATGCACAAAGAGCTTGGCTTCTGTTGAGCCAGTGAATAGCACTCTGCTTTGCACTGTTCCTCACTAGAGCATCAGTGGTAGCAAGTATGTAGGCTTTGAGAATCTATACAGAAGTTTCATTTGTTATTGCTAATGCCAGTGTTTGCACCATTTTATGCAATGTCATCTGTATAAATCTTGTTAAAAATGTGGGGTGGAAAGTGTAAATGTGTCGAGGGATAAGCTCAGAACTCTTGTTTGTTTTAAACAGAATAAAGTGACGGTCAAAAGAAGCGCCTGTTAGCCATTCCTAGCCCCTCCAGTTATTCTTTCCAGGGTCATACACAGAGAGATTTCTTTCTCTTTCATTTTCGCCAGGCTGTGTCTTTTTCAGAAAAACGCCACACCATATATCACACATACATGTGCACGTGTCATACGGTGTGTGTACATCTGCGAGCGTGCCAGGCGCTCATTGGCTTGTATGTTCAGGGGTGAGGACTGTCATTAAACTGTCCGCCTGCATCACCAGACTCAACCATCACCCTGCCTGGCTGTCCATTCTGCTTCTCGCTGGGCCCTCGAACAACACACACACACACACACACTGATTCACTTGGCCATCAGCCAGGATTCACATACACAAAGCATACAGTATGTCTCTTCACACTCGACATATGTCTGATACAAGATTTGGAGGGTTGAGATTTATACTGATAATTTGATATTGAATCTATGGCTGGTTAATACTTTGTGCTAGCGTTTTTTTAATTCCGTGTTTCCACATAGAAAATAGAGTCTTACAATGAGGCAGTATCTCCTTGGAGCCTTTTGATGAGAATGTCAGCAATTCACCTTAAAAGTAATTTTTAGTTTTTCTGTTGTTTTTTTTTTGTCCTTTAAATTGTACACTTTGAAGGATTTACAGACCCAGCATTTTACAAGAAAAATAATGGAAAAGCTTAAAAAAAAGCCTATATAACTTCAATTAATAGCCTGACTTTTTATCTGCTTCAATCAGTGAACTCAACTGGAGGATATTTGGGGCAGGCATCTATATGGGACAGGCTTTTAATTCCTTTTGCACAAAAGTCTTGCTCAGCAAAGATGAGAAATACTATCAAATTCTTTATTTAAACCAGTTTTTCCTGCATACAAATTCAAGTAACACTATAATAATGATTTATTCATTTGTCAAAACAAATAGTCACACCTAGCTAATGAAAGGGACCTGGCATTTAATAAGTTTTAAAGTAGTTTCGGGTAACGTTTTGTTTTTCTTCTGTATTTTCCTTCAACTCATTTGGGGATCCTTCAGCTATAATAGAGATTTAATAGAGACCACTTAGGCCCCGATCACACAGAAAGCATTTTAGCAGCTGGAGACAGCATTTTCTAATTGTTGTTAATGAGAATTAACCTTTTTGCTTGCTGTTTTCGCGTTTCTACACACCTCGTGTTTCTGTGCTTTAGGCGCCTGGTGTTTTTCCCAGAGCCACTGAAGTCCTTGAGTTGAAAAATCTCAGAGTAGAAAAGCGCCCCATGTTATCTCCCCTTTTTTCCCGTTGTCCAATCAGATGATTTGAGAGACGGGGCCTTCTGTGGAGGAGAAACTTGTGGTAGCGGTTGCTGGATACCCAGAGCTATACAACTTTACTCTCTGCCTGTTCATTTTAGTAACTAGCTACTAATTATTGTTAAATAAGTAGGTAGATTTAGCTAGCCAAAATTAACGGTAGATTGATTTCACGGGAAGGTTTTGGTTAAGGAGGTGATCAGGTGGTCAGGTGGTTGCCCAGCAACGATAAAAACACCTAAAAAGGTGCAGCAAGCGTTTTTGTTTTTTTTTTACGAGTGACATTCAATCAAAAAAAAAAAAGGCAAAACGCTTTCTGTGTGATCAGGGCCTTATGGGTCTGGAACCATTGTTTTAGGCCGTAGTGTGACACTAAATGTTTACACAAACTAATGATAGTCTTCAGGGGTGGATTAGCAGTTTCATAAAGCAAGGTTATCGCTTTAGATTATAATCTTTGTTAATTTTATTTACTGAATCATACCAACAATAAGCTAAATTAATTCAATGTATTACAATTAAATAACAAAATTACTAAATAAATAAGATAAAAAAAAAAAATGATGCTCAATCTCTCCAAAGGCCAATATTGGGCAAACAGCACAACACACTATTCTGTCCCAGTGAATCTGCCTGCCTGGATGCTGAAGTACTCTCCCAGCCACTCATACAGCCAACCCATCAGCCCAGCTACTTGTCTCTGATTTAGTCCGACTCTGTTCTTTGCTCACGTTCAAGGCTGTGGTAATGGGGGAATTAGTGTGCAGAGAAGCAGACGGACGGCCCTGTGGATCTAATAGGTAGCCAGACTGGAGAAGAAGGCTGGAGTGGGGGGGGGGGAAAGAGCATCTCTAGCAGAGAGGGAGTTAAGCATGGCCTCTCCCTCACTTCTCCTCCTGTCCTCCCGCTCCCTTCCCTCTCCCCTTTATCGCCTCATTCCCCATGCCCTGTCCCGAACCTTAATGGGACGTCAGACGGACAGCCTTGCCTGAATTGAGCAGGGAGAGCAGCCTCCACCCCCCTTGTTGTTTCTCAAAAAAAAGAGACTCCCCCATCCCCCCTACCTTCCCCCCATGCCCCTCTTGCGCTCACACAGCTACAGCACCCATAGCTGCTCCCCTTGGTTCTCAGGGCTATTGAGGGGGTCCCAGACACCCTCCGCTCTTCAGCCCCTCAGCCTAACTCTGCATAAATTAGGCACGTCTCCCTGGTGTCTCGTCAGCCGGTTGGGGCACCCCTGGCCCCGGGTCTGCCGTCTCCCAATCTGCTGCGTCTTCTCCCCTCATGCTGTCACCTTCTGTCTCCACCTCCCCCATCTACTGTATCCCATCAGTCCTCCACTTACTCTGACCACACGGCCTCAAGCTAACAGAGCTCCTTTTTTTCACAGCTCATTTCCTTTTCTTGTGTTTATAATTTATCCCAAAATCACTATCGCTTCCTCTTCTCCTTTTTTCATCAATCCTTCACTTCCTCTTCTTCTTTTTTCCCCCTAAATCCCTTGACACACTCGCTCCCACCTCACCTGCTTTATATTCTCCACATTCTCTCTATCTATCTCTGCTTTTCTTATCCTCCTAGCACTGTCTTACTCGGATCAACCAAGCACTCTCCTCTCCTCTCCTCTCCTCTCTTTCCTCTCCTCTCCTTTTCAGCCAGGATATTGTTTACATCTGTCTTGCTAATCACTGGTAGAGCCTCTCTAGACCTCACAGATGTTGCAATAATACAGGGGATTAGCAGGCTTAACACTGGGGCTTATTTGGGGAGTTTTCCCGATGGCCTGGCAGCGAAGCCCGTCAGCTCCTCTGAATTTGACCTTTTTTCTGTTTCACTCTGTGCTGAGATCCTGCAGTCCCGCTTCTCTTTGATTTGTGATTTTCTACAAGCGTCTGGCATGCTGATGCTGTTTTATCCAGATCGGCGCTCTGGGCTCTCACTTCTGCAGCTACATCACGGCTTGGGTTAAATGCAATTACAGAGCTAAACTGCTTGACATATGACAGGGAGATTTAGCAACAAACAATGCTCTCTTTAAGCTGCCTTTTTCACCTGGTGCAAATTTTAAATACCCGTAAAATCAGCTGTGTATATTCATACCTGTGACATTATAAAGATATATCAGCAATTACAGCTGCCTTACTGATTCTGTCACTATTTCCGGGGTCTCCTTTATCTGTGTAGCATTAGCAATACGATGTAGCCAGCTAGCACTGTGTTAGCTGCTTCCTCTGTTCACCATGGTGATGCTTGAACCTCCCCAGTCTCCTCTGCTCTCCTTTTTAACTCAATGCTGAAAGATAATTAGATGGCCTCTCCAGACTCCGCATCTCTGCTGCTTCTCTCTGCGTCATGCAGCGCAACCGAGTCCTGTTTTATGACCAAGCAGATCCAGTGTCTGAGACACTCAGTGTGTGTGTGTGTGTGTATGTGTGTGTGTTTGGGGTCAATGTATTTCTGTCTGGATCCTAATCCCAAAGGTGATATTAGTCTGGTAGGGGGCAGCCCATCCCCCCTCTGTGTGCGTGTGTTTATGTGTGTGTTTGTGCTGCGGGCGTTGGGGTCAACCAGGAAGCCCAGACAGGCTCTACCTAGACCTTTGACCCATGACTGTCTGCTAGCTCAGGGGTCATGCACACCATTGATACAGACAGCTGATATACGCACAAACAAACACACATGCACACACATACATGCACAAATGCACAGCTCCCCTTTCCCCCTGTAGTAAACATTAACAGTTTGGTGTGTCTGGAGAGATGATGACACGAACGGCGTCACCTCAGCCGGCTGTATGCAGAGTGAGCATGTGATTTAGGAACAGAGAGTGGGTCCACCTTTTTGAGTTATGCCTGTGTACTCCCTACATAACGTTGGATTTAATGTTGTTTATGGACTCCCAAAATTAGAGGGATATTACCGGACTGATTGCACAGTGTAAGAAGTCTTCTTTTAACTAATCACTCCTTTTTTTTATTTGCTTATGTCTTCACAGATGCAGCCAGTCAGGAACGCCACCATGGAAATGAAAAGCAGTGACTGACCATTGGATCTTACTCCAACAACGCACACGCTGTCTGTAGCCATTTTCTCAGAGTATGTTTAGCCTGAGCCACATACGGAAAATGCCACCTCTCCACCTGCAGGAACAGTCAGTTAGACACACATCATTAGAGACTGATTATCAGTTGTCTAGTCTGCAGTCTTTGTGGATACGGACAGGTAAGTCGGAGCCGCTTCTTAAAGGTAAGTTTAAAAGGTTGAATCAATTTAAGAGCTGTCTGAAGTGTAAAATGGAGCTGCCGAGCAATATTTTTCAAAATTCGTTTCATTAGATATGAATTACTATATTTGAGACCAATTTTAGGTCAGAGATTGGATGAGACCCCAAGGGGTCCTTCTTTTCACTCAGTAATTTACATTCTGGTATTTGACTGGAAAATCGCTTGACAAGAGTTTGTTGCTGTTGAATTACTTTCCTCTTTTCTTTGGGACATTATGTACACATACATATTTATACAGTCTTTTTCATGGTGTAATGAACAAATTTATCGTAAAATGATTGCAGAGTCCCAAAAGTGTTGCCCTGATATGATATATATTTTTAATAAAGTTGAACGATTTGTGAAATGAACATTTGTCTTAGTTGTTTTTTTCTCTTTCATTTGATTTTTCTGTTTCTGTATGTTTCAGAAATGTTTGTATTGTTGCTCAGGTTATACAGTTGCTGAGGTAAAGGATATGTTTGGTGATATTTTTTAGTGTCATCAAATCCCATGAAAAAACCAAAACCAACAATGAACTGGCTTCAAACAAGAATTTCCTCTGTGTCCAAAGCTTGATATATATTATTCCTCTGGGCCAAAGACCTCCATTCTTGTAAAAACAATAGTAAAAACACATCAGTGAGATACGTCATTGCACTGGACAACATTTTTCTTCATTACAGTAAACATGGGCACTGTAGTTTAATCCTACATGCTGTCCTAGTGCTGTAAATCCTTAAAATACTCCAAATATGTATTCATTCGCAGCTGAAAGTAGTCCCTAACAAATACAGTTTTTACTCCTAGTTGAATGATGTTTGATGAAAACTACAGAATAAGTTTGGTGATATATATATTTTATTGTAGTGTCAACAAATGCCATGAAAAGATAAACCAACAATGAACTGGCTGCTACTAACTATTAAAATACTCCAAATATGTATTCATCCACAGCTGAAAGTAGTCCCTGATGAATACAGTGTTTACTCCTGTTTGAATGACGTTTGATGAAAACTACAGTGCCCAGCTTTTTTAGCAATTGTTTTTGCCTTCTTTTTTTTTTTTTTAAATAAAAGTCATGTGCTTGTGACCTGTCTTCAGCAGCAGCCAATGGACTTGGAGCTGAGGGCCACAGACAGGGTAAAGGGTCAGGAAATGGGAAATTTTAAAGACATATTTTAACAAATTTTTGCTTTTTTTGACAATAACAAAAAAATATAGAATATTGCCAGCCACTGATGCTTAACACGTATCATCTAAGATGTGGTTTGAGAAGCTATGGGAGCCTGTTCACTTCGATTACTCTGATTATTCCAGCAGTGGCTGAAGGGTTGGAAGGGGAACAGTTAAACCTAGTGGCCTAAATCTGTGGTGTCAATTAGGTGCCTTTGTGTGTGAGCAGCAGGGGTGTTGAAGCGAGTTGCTGGAGCTGAAGGAAACTCTGAACAATGATACACATTCATAACCCCCCACACACACACACACACACACACACACACACACATTGGTCCTATGTTTTATGGGGATCACACCTCCTTTTGTTTTCCCCCAACAGCCAGTAGAGGCGATGCCCCAGTGCCCCCAGTGTGCTCCACTGCTCTGGCTGAAATGGGCTCCCTGCTCCCCTCTGGCCCCCCGCTCTCACCCAACAACACTGTCCCCTCACTCGCACAGGGTTCCCAAACCCCTCGGCCTCCCCCTGACTGGTCCTGACCTGAAATTAGGGCCAGGCAAGCCTCCATGGCCAGGCCAGCATAAAAGCCTGGTGTGTGCGTGTTTGCGTGTGTGCACTGCGGCCCTGAAAGAAAGTAGGAGATTATCCCATTCTGTGTGTCCAGTCACCAGTGCAGTATTGACCACGGTGGGCCACCCAGGGAGCGTCCAGCCAGCCGTGAGATGGCCTGATATACATGCTTACTGGCCATGCTAGATTCCCCCACTCTCACCGGGGAGAAGGCCAAACCCTACAGGGTGGACGCTTTCTAAAGACACTGGAGTCGGAGTGACCCACCCTCCACACACAGGGACACACACACACGCACATGCACAAACACACACTCGGCGAGGCCTGTGTACAGTGAAAGACATTGCCATCAGGTCGTTTTCTGTGTCCTGTGAGGCGAGGCGGAGGTCATTGAGAAGGTGGAAAACCTCTTTAATGGTGGGAATGATACCATAACACCTATAGATAGAGTTACGGATCATGTCACATACAGTCTGTATACAGTGTGCAGCTGTGACAGCGAGGCCTGCTCACTCCTGATGGTAAATGTGAAGACTAGTGTGAAACATTTTAGCTTGTGTTAAAAGAGAATTTAATCTCTCTCCCTCTTTTTTTTTTACTCCATACACATCCACATACACACGTTTTTTATGTTTATCATGTCCGCGTAACATCTTTTTAGCCTCTATAAAATGCATTTTAATCCATTCATTTTTCCTGTTTTTGCTGTTCAACACATAAAAACCAGGAAATAGAGCAAATAAAACACATTTATATTTAAGATTTAAGTGAATTTAACTTCAAGCTTTTACCTCACATACATACAGATAAATTATTATCGCCATAGGTGTGGATTTTGGGAGGCACAGATCCCCCTCAATATTTAAAACGTGCATTTTTACCCTCAATAAAAACATGAAAGTAGCAGAAGACTTTTATTTAGACAAAATTAAAGACATTTACACCATAAATTGATGCATAAAATGAACAAATTGATGCATAAAAATTCACCAGAGTGCAGGAAATTGTGTTTGATGCTTAAAATTTTCTAGCAAAAGTCGCCCAAACCTCTCATTTCATACATTTTCCTCAATGCAGAGACGAAACCTACGACCTTGATAATGAACACAGCCTCTCAGAGTTTATTAAACTCTCCAACCTGTCCACTACACTTGTTTCTAACAGCTCCCTGAGTTGTTAAAGCAGCCCATTGTTGACCTTAACAAACCCTCAGGGGTCAGCTAATTGTCTTTTAATTGCTCGGCTGTTTGTTTGTGGATGGAAAGTCTCTAACATCCTGCTCCATTAACAACACAAAGGCCTCTAACAGCAGTACGGAGCTGCACAAAGCTCACTAAAACAAATAAGAGAATTCACAGGGAGGGGTGTTTGTCTTTTTTACTGCGTGTAAACTACACTTAAGGAGTTGTTGTGTCGCTAAAGAGCGATAAAGATAATGTAATTTCATTTGTTCTCGTCATGTTGATTAGCTTTACCTTGACAAGATAAACGTGGATTAAATCAACAGCAGCATTTAAAATGATCAGATTGTTATGAACAAAATTAAAATCATTTTATTTCTGTGGTGTGAAGAGTAAAACATTTTCCAACATTCTGCTGTAATAAATGTTGGCCTGTTTTTTAACATCCATTATTTTACACATACATTCTCTGATTGGTTAAATTTGCTCTTGAGGCGAATCGCATAAACGGCACAGGAAGCAGGGGAGATTTAATTAATTAGAAAGAAGAGGAAACAAATAAGCAGAGCGCACTGAATGATTTTTTTTAAACCATAATAAACAAATGTGGTTGTTGGCCCTGATGAATAAAAACTATTGTGTTCAAATTGCACTTTAGTCTTAGTAACACGCACCAGATTTATGAAATTATGCAGCAGTATTTCTAAATGTTCAAACACTGCACTGTACTCCAAAATACAGTACATTTCAATTTCCAAAATTGGGTTAATTAAATAGTACTTTAACACTCAGAGAGCACACACCAGTGGAGTGTATTTACAGCCCTTATGGTTGATATGAGTTTCATAATGATATCATGTACACACAGTGCAAAAATATACAATTCTGATTAACAAGAATCCATTAAACCCTCCATTATATAAAGCAGCCATTTACATAACAGCCCAGTGTTAATTCTGTCCATTTATTTTACATTATACTTATTTATGTAACGCTGACTCACTCTGAATTCATCAATGCAATAAGCGTAAATGGCTGATTACATGCAGGCGATAGTAACGAGCAAAACAACAGGAGCCTTTTAATAAAACATGAAACAACATGTGCACCCGCCTCAAATGAGCACGTATGATAAAAAGTGTATGATGTAAAATAAAAGAGCACAGAGGCAAAAAAAAAAAATCTGCTTTTATTCTCCTAAAGGTGCGTCCGAAATGACTTGATTTGTATTTTTTCCCAGCTTCATTTAAATGCATTAGTATCCGAGGAATTTGAGTTCACAGGGTTCAGCTGTGGCCCACTGGTGTGCCATCCCAGCATGCACGAGTACAAAATTAAATTCTTATGTAAGCGTTCTAATTTCAGACCCCAATGACTGTTCTCACATTCACGTGTAATGAAAGGCTGACTACGGATTCGTGTTGATGTGGCATTAGAGCGCAGGGAGGCAAAGATTTCAGGGGGAGAAAAAGACTGTGATTAAACCTGCTGGTTCACAGATTTAGATTTTTGATTTTAGTGAATTTAAAATGTAGAAATATCTTAAAGTCCAAGGCTGTTTTAATGTGGAACTTTCTCTCATGATCAAAAGCTGTGTGTATCCGTCTGTGTGTGTGTGTGTGTGTGTGTGTGTGTGTGTGTGTGTGTAGGGGTCGTCCCTCTGGCTACCCTGAACTTGGTAGCCCCCCAGACGCCTCATAAAATCTGTAGGCTCAGCCCAGAGTGCACACAGAGGAGCAAGTTGAGGGTATAGGGGGTTTGCCAAAAGGGGGTTATAGAGGAGTCAGGACATGGATGGGTGGGGTCGACGGGAATGGGAGAGTGGAGGATGGAGGGAGGAAAGGGGGGGGCTTTAAAAAGTCCGAGAACTTGGAGCCTAGTTTGTCATGCTAACTGCAGCGATGCCATTGAATTTGGACGCAGGGAGCAGAAGGTTCACAGGACCCCAGCCATTCTCATGCAAAGTCTGTCAGAGCCTTCTCCTCCGTCCGTCCACCCACCAGCCACCCATCCACCCATCCACCCATCCACCCCCGGCTTTTACTCCTGCAGGAGAAATACATACATGTTTATAAATGGGCACACACTCACTGAGGCCCTGGTGCCCCCTTTTCTTTATATGTGAAGTTGCATGGAGCCACATTAGAAATGAACCATGTACAAAAACATAAAATGAGACTCTTGAAATAGGATCGCTGAGGAAAGCAAGAAACATGTTAGATTTTAAATATGAAGTAACACAAATAAAGACTCGGCCTTGGAAATGTGAAAGCGTTTTGATTCAGCAGCATGCAGACAATAGGAAGACTAGAAAAGGAAGGAAAATGGAGTCAGATGCGTGTACTTATATGTCATCATAATTAGTTACCAGGAGAGAGGAATGCACCACAGCTCACATTAACACCCGCTTTAACTTCCTGTGACCTTGACACTACCTTGACAG